CCTTCTAGCGCTCCGCAATCCAGTGTAGTCCCTTGGGGCAACAGTAATTCATTGAACACTTAAAATTCCTTGAGAGGGTAGTTCTCTTGTCAAATATTCTTACCATAATGAAATAAAATTTTTTAAAGTGGGGGAAAAGAGAACATCTGAGGGGGAGGTAAGAAGCTTCCCAGTCACTATAGAACACAGCATTGACCTAGGGGAACAAGAACTCTCAGGCCTGATTCTCACTCACTGGGCCTCTGCCTAACTTTTCTGGAAGCTGCTTACCATCTGAATTCTTCACTGCAGAAGACAAAATATTTTCCTTCCCTCTTGCATTCAAATCTTCTGTTTTCGGGACCAGCAGTTAGCATAATGGCTATGTTGCTGGACTCCCACGTAGTCGACCGCGGTTCGAGTCCCGGACCTGGTGGCTTAAAACTCACGCCAGGCGCGTGTGCGTGCGTGCCCAAAATCCCGAGAGGAGAATGGAGGAGAAGGGATTGCAGCGTGACCATCCCCCTGGGGGATGATTTCTCGCTTTCTGTCTCTGTCTCTCTCTGTCTGGCGAGCGCACGCACCCTATAGCAAAAACTTCTCCAAAAAAAAAAAAAATCTTCTGATTTCCTGGGGCAGCTGAGCAGCCTCTGAGGCCAGGTGAAGGCCACCAGGCCACACTGTGCTAATCATCCTCGTTGTGGTGGCCGCTTCTGAGTAGATGGTGCGTGTTAATCAGGAGTCGTGTGAGGACTGATTGTGGAGCCCTTCTTGATCTCAGCAATTAGCCAGAAGACTCAGCCATTCTTGATTGCCAGATTAGCTTCAATGGCCACCAGGGCGAGAGGGCAATGATCACAGCATTTCCTGTATCTGGTTTTGCATGAAGTTCTGCAAGAAAGTGGTACAGAATGGGAGCTTTTGAAATAGGTGGTTGTGGTTTATGGAGGTTTTCTGCTTGTGGGTCATATGTGTGACTGTCTGTGAGTAAGAAGAGGAGAGTCTGAGAATAGTACTACAAATGTATGTGAAGAGAAAAGATGCAGACTTTTGAAAGGCAGTTTGGCTCTTCTGGCTTACTGTAGGCCCTCTTGTTAACCTCTAGAAGTTGGGTGTAAGGACAGATTTGATTTCATGATCCTGGAGAATGAGGATCATCAAACTAACTTTCTGTCTGTTGGAGGTGAGAAGAAAGCAGGAAGGAGGAAGGATAGAAAGGAAAGAAAGAAGGAAGGAAAGAAGCAAGGGAAGGAGGGAGGAAAGAAGAGAGGGAGAGTGAGAACAAGAGAGAGAAAGAAAAGGAAGCAAGGAAAGAAGGAAGGAAAAATTGGTTCCCATACCTGAGGACAGCAAGGGGGAAGAAAGCAGCTCAAGGTAGGTCCTGTGTTAATCAGGATGAGCTGGACTGTGCTGCTCAAAGATCCCCCAAATCTCAGTGACTTCAAGCAGCAGAGGTTAATTTATGCTCATTGGGGTGGGAGTTGATAGAGTCTCAGGGGTGTAGGATCTTCACTATATGGATCGTGACTGGATACTATGGTGGGGAAGGAGAATGTCACACATTGTGTCCTGGCCCCAGTCATTTGTCTATAGCATGTGACTTGGCTGTGCATCATTTGCAGAGGATGGGGAAGTTCAGTTGTATTCATGTGTTTAGAAGCAAGGGAACTGAAATATCTGTATAGAGCCCTATTGAATACCACCCATGCCCCGCCCAGCTCGATCCCAACATAGGCTAATATGAGCAAAGACAGAAATCCGGCAGATTGAGGACATCGTACCAAGTGAAATTAGCCAGGCACAGAAGGATGAACACTATATGATTCTGCTTATATCTAAAATAGTCAAACTAATGGACCCAGAATGGAATGGCGGTTGTTGGGGGCAGAGTGGAATGTTACTCCCTCTACTCACCTCATGGAGAAGGGGGAGCTAAATGTTTCCCAGTTTACTTCCTAGCCAAACAGACGAGGGGTTGTACAATAGCAAGTTTGAGAATCACGCACTAGCAAGCAAGTTCACTGCCTTTCCCAGATGGCTTTGGATACATTACTTAAGACGCCATCCCTGTCCTTCCCCCCTTCGTAAGATGGGAGGACGACAGTACCTGGTCATCTGCCTTGGCTCCTACCTCTGTAGGTTAAGGGAGATACTTTATGTAAGAGCTCAGTGCAGTGCCTAGCACATGGTACAGTTTGAAGAATGTTAGAACAACAAGCCTTGGCTCCTCTTTCTGTGAAATGGCCAGAAGAGTACCTCCTTATAGGGTGATAGTTTCCTGTAAGTAATACCTGTGAGTCACTTACTGTGGTGTCTGGCTAGTGGTAAGTGTTTAGAAAATGCATCTGAGAGGGTACTTAGGAGTCTTCAAGAGTCTCTGGAGAGAAAGAAGGAAGATGAGGACTATCAGCATGATTTCCTTAGGTTACAAGAATAGAGACATGCTCCAGGCACCTTCCTGAGGGGGATTTATTGCAAGTGTGCATGGGACCGGACGGTCTGCAGTCACAGGTCAGGATGTAAAAGCAGCTCCAGTGTGACAAGCATGTGCACGTGATGGCTCAGCTCACCCCTCGCTTCTCCCCATTTCCTTCTTTTCCTGCCCTGTCTCCTCCAGCTCCTGCTGTCTCACATTCCTAGTGCTCTGTGGCTCCTGTTTACTGTCCTCTCTCTCTGGGACTCCCTGCAACATGATGGGTCAGCCTGCCTTGCAATGGCTCTTTAGAGATCACAGTCTTACAGCGGATCCCTTTAGCTGGTTGCAAGTGCATGGGAGGGGGCCATATCTTGTTAGGCTGCAGTCCTTAAGGGGATAGGGTGATGGGTGTGAATGTGCTCCACAGTTTCTTGGAAGCTGGTAGTGTAACTGGCAGCCAAAGAATGGGGTCTGTGGTCTGTGTAGCTTGAATTTCAGCTTCACAGTTAACTAGCTGGGTTAGCTTGGGCAGGTCACTTGTTAATGGATGCTCAGTTCCCCATCTGTAAAATGAGAATAATTGCAATATTTGACATACCAAATAACTATGCGGTACCTTAGTATCAACTGTCGCTCTGTAGCCTCCGCCAGATGGGAGAAATTGATGCTTAATGCTAGGAGAGATAGGGCAGAGGCTAGAAGGGGCAGTGGTGTATGACTTCTCTAGAATGTTACGGAACCACATGGGGACAAGTAAGGACAGGAGCAACTAAAACAATTCCTCAGAGGGTTGGGGTGGGAGGGGTTAGCAGCTTTTAAACTTAAACTCTTTCAGAGCACAGAACAAGGGTCTGCATACTTTTTAAAGACCAGAGAGCAATTTTTAGTGTTTACAAACCGGACAATCTGTATTGCAACTCCTTTGCTGTTGCAGCATGAAAGCAGCCAGAGACAATGCAAATGACCAGGTATGGCTGTGTTCCAATAAAACTTTATCCACAAAGACAAGCAGAGGGCCAGGTTTGGCCCAGGGGCTGTGGATTGCTGAGCTGCTGGAGTGGGACTGTCAGCCACTCTCAGGTGCCAACAAAGCTCCACTGTTCATTCCCCACCGTTCTTCTCCTTGGGAATGTTAAGAGGCACCTTGCAGCTGCTTCCTCCTGGAAAAGGAAGACTGACAGGGATACTACTCATCACCATTGTGTTCCTATAGCAACAAGGATAGATTTAGGGAGCCAATTTTTGTTCTCTATGGCTTCAGAGGTTTCCTCGGTGGTGGTGGTGGTGGGGTCTTGTGGGACAGGGAATGCTTTTTCAGGTTAAAGCCTTGCTAATGGGCTCTAAGCAGAATTCATATGTTATAGAAATAATTCGGGGAGTTAGTTGAATGATGCTTTTGATTTGAACTCAAAATGACTAGTACCCAGTTAGCCATGGAGAATCTGAGTTTCCAGTGGTGCCTTCCTGATGCAATCTATGCCATGCATTGTTTCCACAATGACTCGTGACCTTTCTCTTGACCTCAGGTGACTTAATCAGCTCTTTTCCAGGTACAGACATCGTGAGCCAGAGCTCAAGCACCAGAGTGTCACGAGATTGCATCCCTCCTGGGATTTATTGCAAGGTTTATTCTGAAAAGGCTGCCTCCTCTCCAAAGGGAAGAAGAAAATAAAGTCCATGGTATCTTCCCCACCGAGTTAACAGTGGCTCGGTCTGATTTCTCTTATGGGCACAGATATATGAGCATGTCCTAAAAGCAATGGGATGTCTATAATATCCTACCAATATTTTCTCCCGTTATGACTTTATTATGTCACTTCCAGCCCTTACATAAACCATCACAGCACTGTCTGCTGGAATTCAAACAGGAAGCTGGAACAAAATATTTGTTACCCAATGGCAAAGACAGTCAAGGAAGGAAACAGTTGAAAAGATGTGGTTTAAGGGAACCAGCAGTTAGCGTAATGGCTATGTTGCTGGACTCCCACGTAGTCGACTGCGGTTCATGTCCCGGACCCGGTGGCTTAAAACTCACACCGGGCGCGTGTGCGTGCATGCCCAAGATCCCGAGAGGAGAATGGAGGAGAAGGGATTGCAGCGTGGCCATCCCCCCTGCGGGGTGATTTCTCGCTTTCTGTCTCTATGTCTCTCTCTGTCTGTCTGGCGAGCACACGCACCCTATAGCGAAAACCTCTCCAAAAAAAAAAAATGTGGTTTAATAAGAATTGCTAAGAATCGGAGATATAACACATTAGAGCTCGGAAAATCCAGAATTTCTAGTTGGAACATTCTCAGTTGAGGAGTCTTCACAAAGTTCATGAAAAATGCATATTCTGAAAAAATGGGCATGGGTTTTTAATTTGAGGGCACCAAATAAGTTCGTACTTTGTTATCCCATGAATTTTTTAAAGTCCACTGGTATTTCCTGATGGGAAAACTGAGATGCAGAGAGAAAAGTCTTACCTAGAGTTTAAGCCAGGAGCAAAGGGAACAGGTGAAGCCAAGGCCCAGACTTCAGGCCGAATGCGCTGCCCTGCGTGAACCAAATTCCTTAGTGATCGCTTAGTCAAGTCCCTCTTCTGTATTTCTCTCCCCTCCTCTCCAGGATGGCTACTTCTCCCACCGACCGAAAGAGAAAGTGCGAACAGATAGCAACAACGAGAACTCGGTCCCCAAAGACTTTGAGAACGTTGACAACAGCAACTTCGCACCCAGGACTCAGAAGCAGAAACACCAGCCTGAGCTGGCGAAGAAACCCCCGCACAGACAGAAGGAGCTTTTGAAGAGGAAGCTGGAACAGCAGGAGAAGGGCAAAGGACACAGCTTCCTGGGGAAAGGCGCCAACCAGGTGCTGCCTCCCGGCGAGAGAGCCGAAGCCAACAGCAGCCGCTGGAAAGAGGCCCCGAGACAGCCCCACGCCAGGAAAAGTGGGGGCAGCTCCCCAGAGACCAAGTACGACCAGCCTCCCAAGTGCGAGATCTCAGGCAAGGAGGCCATCTCTGCCCTGTCCCGCTCCAAGTCCAAGCACTGCCGCCAGGAGATTGGGGAGACCTACTGCCGCCACAAACTCGGGCTGCTGATGCCAGAGAAGGTGACCCGGTTCTGCCCACTGGAGGGTAAGTTCTGGCCCCAGACCCAAAGAGGCATCTCCAGGCCTCTTCCTCCTCCCACCTGACCCATCCTGCTCACAGTCCCAGACTTGAAAATAGCTACCCTGTTTTCAGACCCTGGATCAGGTCTAATTCATGGAGGGACTCGCTAAATTCAAGTCTCATATAAGAAAAGGTTTACAAAGTCAGGTGACCTTTTGTTAGGGCTTTAACCATTGCCTTTATGGTAAAGGAAAAATCAGAGTGCGCTCGGGCCCATGTGAAAGTGTGAGAGGGGAGGTGGCTGTATTGATCCAGTTTGGTTTCTCTCTCAGCAGAATATTGAATTAAAATTGATGGGGTTTTCATCATTGATGATGACTTGAAAGGTTTCTGACTGGTTGCATTGATTTTGGAAACTGTGAAAATCATCCTTCAAGTTCGTTTGGTGCTTTCTTTGTTTCTTTCTTTCTTTCCTTCTTTCTCATTTCTTCCTTTCTTTATTTCTTTCCTTCCTCCTTTCCTTTTCCATCTTTCCTTCCTGTTTCTTCCTTATTTCCCTCCCTCCCTTCTTTCTTCCTTTTCTTCTTTCCTTTCTTCTGTATTTCCTTCTCCCTTATTTTCTTCCTTTCTTCATGGCCTTCCTTTCTCCCTTCTCTCTCATTTTTTTCTGGGTACTCTTCTGGGTGCTAATGTCTCTGTGATAGATCTCTTGCTGAGATGCAGGAGAGATCAGGAGACTTAACAGGGGAATTCACAGAGCTTTGCCTAGTGGCCTCCCCAAACAGCAGATCCTCAATTCCCCTGCCTCTGAGTACAAAGAGGGGTGTGTGGTGAGGCTAGTAGCTAAGGAAAAGTAGACTCAGACTTCTTAAAGAGATCTTCGTTCAGTGGGACCAGCAGTTAGTATAATGGCTATGTTGTTGGACTCCCATGTAGTCGACTGTGGTTTGAATCCTAGACCCGGTGGCTTAAACTCATGCTGGATGCATGTGCATGTGTGCCCAGGATCCCGAGAAGAGAATGGAGGAGAAGGGATAGCAGTGTGGACATCCTCCCGGGGGGTGTGTGTGTGTGTGTGTGTGTGTGTGTGTGTGTGGAGAGGGGGTATTTCTTGCTTTCTGTCTCTCTGTCTCTCTCTGTCTTTCTGGCGAGCACACACACCCTATAGCAAAAACCACCACCACCACCCCCACCTCCCAAAAAAAAGATCTTCGTTCAGTTGTTTCACTGGACAGATAAGTGTATGAGGCCCTGGGCCAGTCAGCCAGTGCCATGGTCAGTGAGGCACTGGATCCCACATGGCTAACTGCATGGTCTGAGTGTCAGACCCAGTGACTTGAAAACATTCTGGACACATGTGTGTATGTGCCCCAAATCCCAAAAGCAAGGTGAAATGGAGGAGAAGAGCTTGCAGCATGATCTTCCCCATGAAAGATGCTTTCTTAATTTCCCTCTCTCCTTCCCATGAGTGCATGCACTCTCTGGGGGGGAAGAAAAATAAAGAATATGAGGCTTATGCAGGGTCACCCAGTTCATCAGAGGCATCCTCATTTCAAATGTGTCCCTCTATTGCTACCAGGAGTTTGAGAATGAGGAACTGGAGCAGGGGTTGGGTGGGTAACTACGTGGGCCTAGTGTACTGGAGGATATGCACCCTCATGGGGTTCTCACTCCAGGGACAGGTCTTGCAGTGGGACCATCTTCAACCCTATACTCAAATTCATCTGTTTTTTAAGTTTTGTGTAGCAAACACCTATCTATACATTACTTTCTTTTAAATAGGAAGATGTAAAAAGAAAAGTCTCATTTCCTCCTTGTAGTTTCACCCTTGTCTAAGTGGTCCTGGTGGTTCATGTCTGCATCCTTGATTGGACTTGGCATGTGGCGTGTAGGAGTAATTAAGTAGAGTGTGATGGCTCCAGAAATCTTTTGTTATCCAGCGCCTGGCAGAGCAGTTTGGAATCCTGAGTTGAACACCCTCCACGGAAATAACATTGGGCTCCACTAAGTACCAGCACACTTCTTCCGTAAAGGGCTGAATAGTAAAGATTTGAGACACCAAGGCCCGGGCAGTCTCCATTGCAGCTATTCAGCCCCGCCTTTGTGGCACAGAAGCAGGTGCACCTGGTGTGTGCTCATAGAACTTATCGTGCAGAAGCAGGCCACGGGGCAGATGTGCTTACTCCTGCTGCTCGCCGGGGCTGTATACTGGTGTATACCAGCCTGCCTTAGCCCGGTGATCCTGCATCGGCCCAGGGAATGAATCTGTTAGGGACTCATTGGTCAGTGAGAAGATGGAGGCTCACAGAGGTTTAGTGCTTGGCTCAGGTACTGGCTTAGCAGATGGCGGAGCTGGTACTGGAACAGGGGTTACAGGCCTTCAGCCTTTCTCATGAGTCCTCCCTCCTGAGAAGGAAAAAGCTCTCACTTTAGGTCAGATTGTCAGGCCCCAGAGATATCCCACTTCCTGTGGCTCTCTCTGTCATCAATGTCATTGCAAGGGGGACAGAGGGCATCAGTGATGTTGCCAGTGGTTAGAAGCATGGCTGTGGAGCCAGACTGCTGGATTCAAATCTAGATGCCTTCTGCACAAGCTGTGGGACTTTGGGCAAGTTGCTTGACTTCTCTGTGCCTCAGTCTTCCCCTCTGTGAAAGGGAAGCGAACATGATCACACCAGTGATCACGGGTCAAGTGTACAGGTAAGAGTTGTGCCTGGTCAATAAAATACGTTATTAGGCGTAATCCAGAGGAAAGGAAATGGGGATGCCATTCAGATCTTTGTACTGGGCTGTTCATTGCAGCGCCATTCACAGCAGCCAAGCGATGGAGTCAGCCTGAGTGTCCAGCAGCAGAGGAGTGAATAAAGAAAATGTCACATACACACACACACTCTAGAATACTATTCATTCAGCCAGCAGAAGGTGAAGTCCTGTCATTCAGGGCAACGTGGTTGAACCTACACTGTGTTAAGTGTAATCAGCCAGACACAGGAAGAGAAAAAAAATCACATGTTCTCAGTCAAGTGTGAAAACTAATGTTGACCTCTCAGAAGTAGAAAGCCGAATACTGGTTACTAGAGGCCGGGAAGGGGAGGGCATGGGAGGACAGAGTGATGTAGGTTAAGGAACATGAAATTACAATTAGGTAAGAGAAGTTCCAGTGTTCTGTAACATGAGGGTGACTGTAGTTAATGGAAATTTATATTTCAAAATGGCTAAAAGAGAAGATTTTGCATGTTCCCACCACAAAGTAATAATCAATGTTTGAGATGTTGGAAGCAGATAATATGCATTACATATGTTTGTTGTATGACCTGCTGGTCAACAAAATCAAAGTCTTGCTTCCCTCTACCGGGGTTCCCGCGCTTCTCCTGGTCCTGCTGAGACATCTTGGTCAAGGCTTTGGTGCCTGAGTTTGCACTACCCTGAGGTTCTTACCCTGTCGGCCATGGTGGCACACCCTCCCAGGACTTCCGAGCCGATTAGTAAGATTGGCATGTAAGAGCCATCGTACACCCAGCCCCGGCAGGGCTGTAATGTGCTACACCACAGCTCCCCCTTTTGCAATAAATTTACTGTGAATAGACTAATTGCAAAATAACCCTAATTGGGTAGTTATCAATGAACAACTTCCCGTGGAACAAAACGGCTTACAATTAATAGCATTTAAGCCATAAACCATTCTTCTGTAGAAAGCTAAGATGTAATTACACCCCATACGGAGATCGTGTTCCCTTTCTGGAAACCATGACACCCGGATTTCCCTCTGCTCAGGAGGGATTTGAGCGTCAGCCCAGTGGTCCTTTTTTATCCTGCTAAATGAGGAAGTGGAGGCAGGGCTGGAGGGAAACGTAACGTGTGAGTAAATATATGTGTACACACGTGCGTGCGCACACAGATGGACTCATCACACTTGTCACTTTGCTCAGCTCAAACATCACCCAAACTTCAGCCAGTCATGTGCTGCCAGTCGAATGTAATTAAGGAAACAGTTCTCTTGGCTGGAAGTCTAAAATATTCAGAGGAAAGGAGATAGACTTTAAGTGCTGACTTTTGTAAGGAGCTCCCTCTCCTCCCATGTCATGTCCACTCACCCCATCACACTTGGGGAAAAGGTACAGTCTAGAAGTCTAAAAGGTACTTTGCTTTCTGCAGAGATGTCCCCGGCCCCGGCACTGGCCTCCTTCACTGTCTGCCTCCTGGAAAAGGTAGTCTGGAAGGAGGTCACAGGGAGCCACTGCTTCCTCCCGCCTGCACATCCATCTTCCCAGGGGAGAAGGGGTGAGCAGGCTGTGCGCTCTCAGCTGTGCAGGGAGACACAGCGAGGCGTGGGGGCTCTTCTCTGTCAGCACCCAGGGATGGCCTCAGGCAAGCTTATTTCTAGCCCAGCAGTTCCCCCCCACCCACCGCGGCTCCTCTGTGATCCCCTGGGCTCTTTGTGTGGAAAACCCCGTTTTTCCAGCCTGGCCAATCCTGGCCTTCAATCTGGCATGGTTTTATGTCCAAACACTGGGAGGCCCACTCGGAGTGTCCAGAGGCCGTAGGGTGGTTCTGGATACCAAGGGAGAGGCCAGAGGCCCAGGCAATTGTGAGAAGTGGGGTAAAGAAGTCTGGGAGGGGTGATGGGGTGACAGCTTGGTGGCCTGGGTGAGCCCAGAGGCTCTGGTACATGGGTTGGGGGATGAGGCAGTTTGGGGCAGCCTGGCACCCAGCCCAGCCAGCTGTGTACACCCTGTGGCTGGGAGCAGTGAGATAACCTTACAGCACAAGTAGCCAGCTTCCAGACAGCACGACTGAAAGCCCAGCATGCAGGGAAAATGCAGACCCGGATGTCAGCTTAGCCATGCCAGGTGCTCCATGGCGAGGGCCTCAACATCCCCCTCTGTCACTCATGTCCCCATCAGCTAGCTGGAAGCACTGCTTTCTCCTGGTCTCTTTCTGCCTTCTCACCCATGATAAAAAGAGGGAACAACTGTGCACAGTTAAAAGGCTCCACAGTGACAGGCCTGATGAAGCCAAGGTGG